GAGCGGCGGGAGCCGCCCTGGGCTTCCCCGGGGAGAAGGGCAGTGGGACCAGCAGCAAGAGCAGGGGGCAGCTGTGTCCAAGCGCTGCTAAAGTCTCTTCTGTGGCTCTTCTGCCCGGAGAGGAAGGGTCACCCTTTCCCCCAGGCCTGTGCATCAGCGTCTCCTGACTGTGGTCAGCATCTGCTGACTGTAGTGACTCCAGCCCCCAGAGAGCTGAGCTGGGTTTTAGCCTGTGAGACTGAAACCAGATGTCTCCTCTGTGGCTGGGCAGCCAATACAGTTGAGGCAAAGCCCTTGGCATATAGCTGGTACCCTATAGATCTGGTCAGCTGTGTGGCAGCCATCTCCACGCCACTGTGCACACAGCACAGGGCAGCTTGTCTTGTGACCTGCAGCACCCACCCAATTACTTGAGCTGTTGCTGCTTCCTGTGACTCCCTCACCACATGTGTGCTGGGGTGCTTCCTAGGAAGCAGGACTAGTCTGGTCCTTGGACCTTTCTGGTCTCTAGTGTGCCCTACTTTTCCTGTCCTGGGTGGAGCCTGGCTCCCGGGAGCTGTGGCAGGCAGGTCCCAGCTGAGTTGGCGGGCTGTGGGGCAATACATACTTCCTCCTGCTGCAGCCCTTCTGCTCCCTCCCGTTGCCCAATATGAGACGTGGTGTTGCTGGGGTGGGTGGCTGGATGGGCTGCCTGGGGGTGGCAGGATGGAGGCTGCCTGGCCGTAGGGCACCTGACCTCAGTGAGGGCTAGTGGAGGATGTGTGCGAGAAGCCAAAGCCCGTGTACTCCTGGCCATGTCACCTAGTAGTTTCCCTGAGCTGCCCTGCTGCCAGCGAATGTGGTGTGTGTCTGGTTTCTGTGTCTTGCTGCGCAGGGTCACTGAAACCTCCCTGCTGCTGGCACAGGAGGGAGTGCAGTGTGCCGCTATTGCGGGCAGGGAGTAAGGGCATTGGAGAAAAAACTTGTCTCTTGTGTCTGCTTCCCTCTGGGTTGCTGGGTCCTGAGCTGTCCCAGCTGGGATGTGCTGCCCCAGCCCCGGTTACCCCAACTGCTGTCTGCGCCTCTGGGCTGGCCCCGCTCCCTCTGCCATGCTGGTGGCACCAGGTAGACCTGTTTTTGCTGCCGGTGCTGCTCCAGGCACAGGTCTATTTGGAGGCCTCTGGCCTCCACTCCCATGCTGTCCCTGGCTGGCTGGGGCTTGCTCTACTGGACTGGCTCCACAGAGCACAGGGCTCTGTGCTGCCAGAGCTCCCGACAAGCCTCCTGTGGGCTCAAATCCAAGGATGTGTTGGCAGTCGTGTGCCTTCACATGGGGCTGATGAGGGGATTGCCTTCCTGTCTGCTCAAGGGAAGTGGCTCCTCCATGGGATCTGGGGATGGCTGAAGTAGTCCTGTTCCCTTACACTCTTCTTCTCCCTTCTTCCTGGTGGATAAAACCTTGCTCCTGCCCGCCCTGGGCTGGCTTCTGGCCCCTGGCAGATTGGGATTGCACTGGGGTCCCTGCTGAGGTGCTGGGACTCATGTCCCACTTCCACATTGTGGCAGGAGCTTGGCTTGGGGAAGTGCCACCCACTCAGGCCAGGGCCAGTGCCAGCCATGGAGAGGAGGGCTCGCTGGTTGCATATGCTGCTGAGTCACCCCAGAGCAGGGGCTGCCAGCCTGGAGCTGCTGTGCAGCCCCCCAGGGGTGCCTGGCCCACAGGGGCAGGTGGCCTTGCTCCTGTCCTGGCCCTTGTCTCAGCTGCATGGTTTGGCAATGCTGGCTTGGTGATGGAACACTTGGAAACCTAACAAGGCTTCTGTGCCCTCTGCAGCGGTGGGGTACCTGTGCTGCTGTCTCTGCTGTTGTGTCAATGTGTGTGAGGCTGGATTGAGGGGCTGGGGGTGCTGCTGGTACCAGCTGGTGGCCAGTTCGGAGCTGCCTGTGCGCTCTTGCCCACAGTGTGCCTGGAGAGCCAGCGCCTTTGCTTTCTCTAGCTGGGCCCCTCCTCACAGAGCCCTGGGCTCCTGGGGGGTCCTCCAGCTGCTCAGATGTTCTGGTCTCATTTCCTCTGGTCAGTTTGGGATCAGCACCATTCAATGGATTTTGAAGCCAGGGCAGGGATCATTATCCCCTCCTTCTCCTGTGTGGATGTAATGAGGAGTGGTGAGCAGTAGCTCTCCCCAGACATCCAAAGGTCACTGGGGTGGGACTGGGATGTTTACCAGGGGACAGCATCATCTCTGGTGTATTTTGGGACAAGGAGGGTCATTCTGAAGTGTGTGAGCTGGGTATGAAGGTCTTCAGGCAGCACCCTGCTCTTGTAGGATGGTATACTGGGTGGGGAAGGATCCCTCGCAGGAGCTGCAGGATGTGCCTGGTCCCAGGGGCTGGTTATTGCCCTAGTGAGGGGCTGTTCTGGGTCTATTCCTGAGTGTCCCTACCATGGGCTGGCTTGTGGGGGAAGTATCCTGGCTCTGCCAACTGCCTTGAGTCAGTCTTCCTCTCTCCCGTTCACAGAAAATCATTGGTGTCTTCAAACCCAAGAACGAGGAGCCATATGGGCATCTGAACCCCAAGTGGACCAAGTGGCTGCAGAAGTTATGCTGCCCATGCTGCTTTGGGAGAGACTGCCTCGTCCTCAACCAGGGCTACCTGTCAGAGGCAGGCGCCAGCCTGGTGGACCAGAAACTGGAACTCAACATTGTTCCCCGCACAAAGGTGAGGGGACAGCTGATGGGATCTCATCCTGGGGAGGCTTTCGCGTGCTTCTGCACAGCTCTGCTTGCGCCTTGTCTTGTGGCACTGCTGACCTTGGAGATGTTGTGTTGAGAGCTCTGGACCTGGACTGCTCCTGCTCAAGTAACAGGGATCCTCATGCTGGGCAGAGCCTTGGGAAATGCTATGTCTTGGTTTTATCAGCCAGTCCTGTGACAATTGCCAGGTGCCCCTGCTGATGTATGTGCTCCTGTCCCCCCAGGTGGTGTATCTGGCCAGTGAGACTTTTAACTACAGTGCCATCGACAGGGTGAAGTCCCGAGGGAAGAGGCTGGCCCTGGAGAAGGTGCCAAAAGTCGGCCAGCGCTTCAACCGCATTGGTCTGCCACCCAAGGTAGGGCTGCCAGCCTCCTGTGCCGCCTGTCACTGCTTCTCCATCCTCTGTGGCCTCCTATAATGCAGCCTCTTCTTGCTTCAGGTGGGCTCCTTCCAGCTCTTTGTGGAAGGCTACAAGGATGCTGATTACTGGCTGCGGCGGTTTGAAGCTGAGCCACTCCCGGAGAACACCAACCGGCAGCTGCTGCTGCAGTTCGAGCGGCTGGTGGTGCTTGACTACATCATCAGGAACACAGGTAGGGCCATCTGCCTGGTGTGGGATGGTGCCTGCTCCTTCACGTCCTGCCAGCTGGAGAAAGGGGAGGGGGGAAGGGGCTTGGCATTCCTTCCTGGCACCCAGAACTCCTCTCAACACCACTTGGTTGCTGCCAGGTGGCAGATGCCTCTGGGTAGAGTACAGCTGCTGTGGCTGTCCACCACCATGGCCGTGCTCTGACTGCTGGCCTGCATTCTGGGAGATCTGGATCCACCATGGTGCTGGGGTGAAAGTTTGCGAGCTGTGAGGATCCAGGGACATCTGGAGATCCATCAGCTGACTGTGTCATCTTGCGCTGGGCTTCTGAGTGCCTGCCAGGCTGGAAGGGGTCAGGGTGGCACTCTGGGGCTTGCAGGCTGCCCTTTCTCTTGTGAGCTGGGGATATGTGGACCTCTTCAGTCTCCAGGGCTGGACGTATGGGGATTGGTGTGGCTTCCCAGGCCTGCAGCAAGCTCGAGGGCTCTGGGATAGAGTTTGGGCCTAAAACTGGTCTGTCTCACTTCTGGGTCAGAGGAGGAGTAATCTTCTGCCCGGCATGGTGCAGGCAGGCCGGCCCTGGCACTGACACAGCTGGCTTTATCTCCCTGCAGATCGGGGCAATGACAACTGGCTCATCAAGTATGACTGTCCCCTGGACAGTGCGGGAGTGCGGGTGAGTGGCTCTTCCTGGGCAGGGGTTCTGTGGAGGGCTCTGCTCCTGCAAGCTGCCCACCTGGCAGGCAGGTCAGGGATTTCCCAGCTGGCTTGGGTTTCTGTGCGTGCGGAGGCCTGATCTTGTCTCCTGGACCTTTCATTGCCCTCTGTGTTGGTGGTTTGTGGCCTAGTGGGACTTTGTGAGGATGCAGATGGGCTCTATGGGGGAAACTGGTATTGCTGGACCTGTGCATCCTTGGAGTGAGGCAGAGGGTGGCGGGAGCAGCTTTTTCCCCCCTTCTACCCAAAGGAGAGAGTGTTTCTGTGCGGGCAAGGGTCCAGACTACAGACAAGAGGCTGCTGTGCCTCTGTGCTAGCCAGGGCAAAGATCCTGGCAGCTGGGCTGAAGGGAGTGGGAGAGGGACTGTTCTTGCTGGGGCCGCCTTCTTGTGACACGCTCCGCTTCCTTCCAGGACAGCGACTGGGTGGTGGTGAAGGAACCCATCATCAAGCTGGCTGCTATAGACAATGGTTTGGCCTTTCCCTTGAAACACCCGGACTCCTGGAGAGCATGTGAGTCTTTCAGGCTGTGTCAGGGCACCCTGGCGAACGATACAGCTCTGTGCTTGGGCATCCTCCTCAAGGCCTGGAGAGGAGAGGGCTAGGGCTGTCCCTCTTGCAAACCTTCTGGGTTCATGGACAGCTCTGCCTCAGCAGAGGCTGTAGGAAGTGGGTGCTGGACCCTGTGTCCCAGATGCAGGTGATCTGGCACCCAGGGGCATGTGGCACCATCCTTGTGTCTTCCCCAGCTCTAATGTCTCCTGCTTCCTCCCACAGATCCATTCTACTGGGCATGGCTGCCCCAGGCCAAAATCCCCTTTTCACAGGAGATCAAGGACCTGATTCTTCCCAAGATCTCAGACCCCAACTTTGTCAAGGACCTGGAAGAAGATCTGTATGAGCTCTTCAAGGTGAGCTGGGGGAGTGTGTGAGGATGGCTTGGGAGGAAGAAAAGCAGGGGTGGTGTTGGCAAGCTCCCTGTCAAGGCTGCAGGGGACAGAAAGGTGGCCAAGCTCCCAACTTGTTTCTGGGCTGAGGCATAGCAAGGTTATCATAACCTCTGCCAGGAGCTGGAGGTTCAGTGTGGGGAGAAGCAGGAAACCTGTGGGACAGGAGGAGAGAGGCTTGCTTGGGGAATAGGCATCTCTTGCATGGCATGGGGCAGCGGGTGGATCCCACCATGTTCTCTCTTCTCTCTTTTGCAGAAGGACCCTGGCTTTGACAGGGGACAGTTTCACAAGCAGATTGCTGTGATGAGAGGCCAGGTAAGCTGTGCTTAGGGAAGGCAGATGGGTGCGGCGTGGAGCCTCGTCCTGCCTGTGTGGCAGGAAGGGTGCTGGGGTAGACACTCTCTGTTGCTCCAGTGGGGCAGTTCCGGCATTGCTCTGTTGTGCTATACAGATCCTGAACCTGACTCAGGCACTGAAAGATGGGAAGAGCCCCCTGCACCTGGTTCAGATGCCACCCGTGATTGTGGAAACGGCGCGTTCCCACCAGCGCACCGCCAGCGAGTCCTACACGCAGAGCTTCCAGAGCCGGAAGCCTTTCTTCTCATGGTGGTAGCTGTGAGAGCCGCAGGCAGGGCTTGGCCGCCTTGGACTAGCACTGCGAGAGGAGCTGTGCCACCGCCGGCTCCTGTGGCTGGGACTCGACCTTCTGGGTAGAGCGAGCAGGTGCAGCTGGAGGAACCTGCAGCTGAACTGGAGGAGCCAGGCAGGTCGGGCATGGTCCCTCCCCAGCTCCGTTGGAGCTTGGTGCCCTGCCTGGGGCAGAGCCCAGGGGGAGGTGTGGGAATCCGCTGGGAGCCATGGTGTGGCTGGGCCCCTGCCTCCCTTCCTTGGCCTGCATGTGGTTCTGAGCACCCCTGCCTGGGGCTGGGATGAGCAGGCTACCTGGGCCAGGATCCGTCCAGCCCTTTACACCAGCCACTGGCCCTTTTCCCCTCCATGCCAGCTGCCGGGCTGGGAAGGCCTGTAGCGGGTTACACCCCTTCCTTTTCCCTGAGGGTGTGCTGTACTCCTCCACTGTCCCTCCTCTGCCCCAACCCCGTGCACGCTGCTTTCCTCAGGGGGAGTTCCTGCTGCCCACTGGCGCAGCGGGGACCGCAATGAACGGCTGTTCTCTGGCTGGGGGCTGGAGGAGGGGATGTTTGAGGGACAACTGGTGCAGTTAGACACTAGGGAGAGAGGTGCAGGCTTGTCTTTGTGATGAGCAGGTGGCTCTGGGAGGGGCTGTAGCTTAGTGACACCCCCCCCCCCCAAGCTGGAGAGGGCTGCGGGTGGGTGCAAGCACCCTTTCCCCCTCTGCTGCCCCAGTCATCCCTCCTGCCAGGTCTCCATGGCTGCTCTTGCTTGGCTTTTGCCTGTGCTCCCAGCAAGCTCCCTGGCTGCTGTGCAGCCAGCGTGGTGCCAGCCTTGTCTGTGCCTAGGCCCCCCACTAGGGGCAGGGGGCTGCTGGGGAAGGGCTGGAGGGGCTCTTCTGCTGCATGGGTGGGAGGTATGATGGGAGCATGGGGGGGCCAGCATGGGCTCCTGGCTGCCCTGGTGCTGACAATCTCGCAGGCCTGCTGCTCTCTCCCCAGGGGCTGCTGAACTTGTGTTGTACAGAACAGTACCAGGGCTGCTGCCTGCATCCGCTTGCCTTGAGCTGCGGCTTCTGCTGCTGGGGGAAGCCAGTGTTGGGTCTCGCTGTCCCATCAGCCCATTTTTGGCGGGTGGGGGGAGGTGTGGTGGCAGCGTGACCCCAGCTCCCCAGCTGGGCCCAGCTGCGTCTCCGACTGACCCAAAATGTATTGTTCTAATGCACTGTAGAAATGTATGTAATGTATTTAAACCATGCAACAGTCTGAAAAACAGAGCTGCCGTTCATCTGTCTGCCTCTGTGTCTCTGCAGCATGGGTCAGGACAATATGGTGGCCCAGACCAAGGTCCTGCTGCCCTGGGGGACAGCCAGGGGTTGGCAGGACACAGCCAGGGGTTGGCAGGACACAGCCAGAGCCTCACGCAGCCACTGCCCCGGCCA